ATCATATTACATATAATAAATAAATAATAAAAATTATAAAGCTCAGTGAGATAATGAAAACTGTTGTAAAGTTAATAAAGGGAGGTAAAGCCCAGAGACAGAGAGCATTTATTGCATTTGTGGACAATTCGAATGCTGAGTATGATGACATTTTATTGTACTATCAGGTGCGCTGGCTAAGTTCTGGAAATTGTCTGTAACAGTTTTTTGGGTTGAGGAATGAAATTCTTGCTTTCCTCAAAAAAGGAACTATTAGGCATGAACATCAAGAAAAATTGGAAGAAATCCAGTTTTTAAATAATCTTGCTTTTCTGGCAGATTTAAAATCCCATCTAAATGCTTTAAACTTGAAACTACAAGGCAGAAAACAAAATATATTCCAGCCTTATGGACATATTGAAGGCTTTCTCAAAATATTTGATGTAATGCAAATTGCACTGAAGGCAAATAATATGGCTCACTTCCCATTTTGTCAGCAACTGAAAGAAGAAAATGACACAAATTTTAGTATGTTTCATGAAATAATTACTGATATCAAGAAAGAGTTCCAGGACAGATTCCAGGATTTTGACTTCCTAAAAACAAAAATTTTGTTGTTAAACAACCCATAGCAATTGAAGTAAGTGAGGTATCTTGCGACTTTCAAATGGAAATTTGTGATCTTCAGGCAGATCCATTCTACCAGACTAAAAAGTGTGAAGTCACTGAACATTTCTGGAAACTTATTTCTAAAGAACTTTTTTCCAAGCTGCATAAATTCTCTTTGCAAATGTTATCACTGTTTGGCAGTACATATATGTGTGAAAGGACTTTTTCTGCTCTCAAACATATTAAATCAAAAACGAGAAATCGCATTGAAAGTGCTTCACTGGAATCGAGTCTGAGACTTTGCCTTACTGAAATTACAGTGGGCATGGATAAACTTGTATCAAAAAGCAGTGCCAATCATCATATTGATTTCTAGACTGTAAAATAAAGTGATATATTAAACTACTGATTTATATGTAATTAGTCTTCTTTCTTTAATTTTTTTGGCCGTCTCTCTCCTATACTAATGCTTGATTGTCCCTCAGGTAACTAAAGGTTAGACCACTTGTCTTAAACTACACTAAGAATAAACTAAGAGAATTTGAAACGAAATAAACTAAGAGAATTTGCATATTTTATCAAATTGCATGAAAACAACTGAACTGAAAGAAAAACACTTCTTCTAGGTAAAAATGCAAATCTTGTACGGCAAATACGTAAGCGTACACGTGTATATAGGCGGAGCCAGCAGAAAAACAGGCTTTATAAGTGCATGGAGGATTAGATGAATTGCATTCAGCAGCACACCTCGGCGAATTTCTTGGTGTTATCTTGCAGCAATCAGCTAAATTCACATCGGAACAGTAAAAATGAGTAACCACCAATATTTAGATAATGGAATGAGGTGGCAAATTGTGGGGGGGGGGCTAGAGGCAGGCCAATCACAAATCCAGGTATGCAGAGAGTTTAATCTAATGCCTAGCTTTGTGTGTAACCTGTGGAAACAGTTCCAGGATACTGGATCCATCAAGAGAAAGTCTGGGCAAGGCCATGGCCGGAGAAGATCGCTATTTGTCCATTTTAGCGAGGCATAACAGCAGCTTCTCAGCTCTCTCGAGACCTTTATGCAGCCACAGGAATGCATGTAACAAGGGCGACTGATTCCAAAAGACAGTGAGAGAGAGTTGTTTGCCAGAAGACCAGCTGTTTGCATCCTGCTCACATCTACAGACAGGAGAGTCTGATTAACAGGGTGCAGGCAGCATAGTGATTGGAGTACGGAGCAGTGGGTGACTGTTCTGTTCTCTGACGAGTCCTGTTTTAGCCTAAACACTGATTCTCACCATACTTTCATATGGAGAGACCCAGCGACCCACTACCTACCCTCCATTGTCTGTGAAATCAACAATTATGGCGGTGGCAGTGTAATGGCCTGGGCAGACATCATGTTGGATGGCCGCATGCCTCTCCACATCTTTGACAGAGGCTGTGTGACTGGTGTAGGTATAGGGATGAGGTCTTGGAGCCCTATGTTCACCTTTTCTGGGATGCAGTGGACCCTGAGTTCATTTTACAGGACGATAACACGAGGCCACATGAGTTTTTTTGGTTGATGAATTTCTCGGGGGTGAGGATATTCTCCAGATGGATTGTCCAGCCAGGACTCCAGACCTCAACCCTATAGAGCATGTCTGGAACGCTCTGGGGAGGACAGTTGCAACTCACAACCCCCTTCCAAGAACCATCCAGGAATTGAAAACAGTGATGCTGAATGAGTGGGACAAATTGCCACAGGCATGATAAACTGCCTTATTTCCAGTATGATGTCATGCTGCAAGGCCTGTTTGGCTGTAAGAGGGGACCATACCCTATATTTGCAACCACTGTTTCAGACCTTCAGACTCCCATGTGTGTTACTCATGAATATATGTGTCTAGTATAACTGTTGAATGTTTATTTTGTTTGTATTAATCAACCTATGTTCACACCAAATTTTATTAAGTATTTGTCCAGTAGTTCTGGAGATCATAGATCAAATATGAAAATTCTCTTAATTTTTTTCACCAATGTATATATCATGGAAGAAAAAACATTGGAATGTTAAAAAACTAAGATGTGCCCATTTCAGAGTTGGATGGAAATAAATGTTTATTTTTAATAAGAACCAGCTTCCTTGTTCAAATATTTTAAAATTGGCAGATTTTTTCTTCTGTCTTCCTATACTAATGCTGCAACTGAGCGAGTATTTAGCATTATGAACAGTTTTGGTCTAATGATAAGACACAACTTAAAGTGGACAGTTTGAAGGGTATGTTAATAACCAAAATAAATTTTGATGAAAATTGCAGAGACTTTTAAGATCAAAAAAGAAAGAGATCTAAGAATTATTCATGCTTCAGAGAAATATAAGGCTACTTCATCAAAATAATTTAGAAAGGTTATAAATTTATAATTTTGTTTAAAAAGGAAAATTGTGTTTAGATTTAGCTTTATTTATTAAAAATATTATATATCACTAATAATAAAAAGTAAAAAAATTGTTTATTTTGATTTGTATATATATATATATATATATATTGACCTAACAGCAAATATATATATATATGTAATGTATTCAAACTCAGAATCAATGACCAGGAAAATTGGAGGCGAAGGCAGATTAAATCCTGTTTTATTTTTAGCAACATGTTGTGGTTACACACAAGTCAGCACATTAAATGTGCCTGTTCCAAAAAGCTTACATTTTCAATAACTTTGTAGCAAAAAAAGAAGAGGCAGACAGACAGCAGTGTAGGTAGGCCAAAGCGTTTAAAGCAAGTGTGTAATGTTCAGGAAAATGTAATGTTCATGAAATCTTAAGTCAGACTGAGTTGGTTTTGGTTCTCAAAGCATTCTGATTGGATGGTTAATATTGCTGTAAAATTATTATTGGCTGTTAAGAGTTTTAGTTCCGTTTACATCATAATTACGTAAGAATCATATGACATAGATTGTTCTCGAAATGACGCAGTGCAGAGAGGGATTACCATTTTTAGAATAGAGAAGGGAAATTTACGTTGTTAACTTAATCATCTATACTTTTCTTACATAAGTCCTCAAGTTTTGTAAAGAATAAGTGAATTTTAAATGTCTTAATAATAGTGAAAAGTTTGAAATTTAATGTGTTTATGAATGATGTGTTACAAAATTTTTATATTTTAAAATGCCTTCCAACAAACATAAATAACAGGAAAGTTGGCATCTTAATTTGTGTTACAATAGAAATATTTTCATCAACAAAAAATGGAAAGACTTTTATTTGAACATTTACTTGGAAAAAATTTGAACTTTTACCGTGTGGAACTATCAAGAACTTACAAAATTTCATTGGACATTCTTACCTCAGAACTCTAAAATATGCAGTTGTTTTAAAAGAAAAGAGTGCTAAATTAATTATTGAATTGAAAATTTCATGACTTCCAGTGAAATGTCAAAGTATTGGTTAAACTTTTGTGACAATAATTTTTTGTTTAAAAGTTAAATAGGTTTGTTAATGTGTTTTGTATTTTTAAAATTGTATTTTTCACATTTTGCTGCTCTAATGCTTTTTCTTCCACCCTGCTTACCCAGCCTTCTTTTGAAGGGGGGGATATATAAGATATAACAAAATATGATAGCTGTTTAAAAAAATAATTGGCGACCTCAATATTAACTATGTAAGATATAACAAAATATGATAGCTGTTTAAAAAAAAAATGCTAATTGGCGACCTCAAAATTAACGTTCTTAATTTGGTGATCTGCTCCTAAATTCATCTCATCTCACAAGTTCCAGATTTATCTATCTTATGTAATGTTTTAATGCAGATGCCTCTTGTCCAATCAAATTAATTGTAAACCAAAACTCTGAACTGAAACTTTTCCGACTCCCACTCCTCTGAAGTTCTATGCTACTCTGCCTTTTTTTCCCGCATAAGTTCTCCTGCTGGCAAGATGCTTTTTATGTATGCTTCTGCCACTTACTTGCTTAAAACGACGTCATTCTTCAAAATGCAACTTACTGTACTGAAGTATAATTAGGAAACATCTTGTCTGAAAAAGGTGTATTTGATATGCATAAAAAAATAAAGATTGTGATTTTTCAAGGTACGTTGTGCTAAATTGCATCATCATGCTTTCTACTCTGCCACACTGCAGTCTTCTCAGTCATCTACGCTCTATGTAAGCTGTTAGAAGTTCCACTGTTTTCATCTACACATTTTGACCTAACGGCAAATGTGTATTTATAATATATAAGTATCTGCATAAATATATAAATGAAATATATAATAAATATGTATATGAAATAAATAATAAATATATTTGAAATATATATGTATGAAATTTATAATAAATGTGACCTGGCAAATGTGTATTTATAATTTGAAATGCAGATATAATTTTGATTTGAATTATTTATATTTATAAGTGACAATTTGTAACATTTAATTTCAGCTCATTTTCTATAGAACTGAATGTTAAAAGACATGCATATGATCCTAATCGTCTTCAGAAACGACTTTCAAATCTTATCGAAACCTTTAATATTGATTTAAGTAAGTACAAAACTTAAATGTCATGTACGTACTTCAAAATTAAAATATTGATCCTTATAAAATATATTTGTTTTATATTATATTTTTAATCTTGCAGAAGAGTGCCCAAATTTATTTCAAATACGAACAGCTGGGGCTATGAATTACCTTTTCCGGAAGAGATATATCGAAGTATGTATTAAGTATAGTAACAAAGTATCGAGTTATAATATGTTTGTATGTTTCTGCAGTTATATAATGTGCTGAAATTCTTTTACTCAGCAAATATATTTTATTTTTTGATCATTTAATGGCAAATAAATTTTGTTAATATATATCCTAATTTTTTTTAATCATATGTGTATGTGAAGGAATCAATTGCAGCAGAACCTTGGGAAGAATTAATAGTGGTATGTGTGATTTACAATATTCTAAATTTAATATTTTATGCACTTTTATGATGTTTTCAGTTGCGTGACTTTCCTGCTTTTTTTGGTACTACTTGATTTTCACAGCCCCTGCAATAAATGGCCAAATTAAGGAAAAATTTTAAATTTCACGAATTTGGCGAACTGTGCAGTATAATAATGTTTTCTTAAGTTAAGCATTGTAAAAAAGTTTTTGACAAATTATGTAAAAAACGGTATTTTCACTTTCAACCACAGTTTGCTGAATTTGACAAACCACATGATATTGTAACAGTCTTTTTTTCAGTCTAATTTAAAATTTACTAAGGAGTGAGGAATATGCCATATCGTTTTTCTGTGAAAAGGATATATTACCTTGTAATTGAATATACGCAAACGGCCATGAAATGAAACTATGGCTGATCTTTGGAATATGGTAACTAATAGTTTGGCGACATTTTGGAGGCTATAAAGGTTACTACCTAGGACTTTGGTAATGTGAGAAGTACTCAGTTCTGATTACGCATTATTTTGTGTGAGGGAAATGAGAGATCATGAGATATGTCATGTGACATTAATGGACGAATTAAAGTTCTTTAATCGGAAAAGGGGGGGATTTGGAAAACTGTAGTACTATATTATTTTGTATTAAGCTTCATTGTGTGTTGTGTGAAATAGTGGAAGTGTGCGTGCCACGTAATGAAGATTCTGAAGATTAGGTAAGTTAGTATTTTTAATCATTTGAGGATATTATTTTTATGCATTGTTCTAAATGTAAGGAGTAAATAAATTAATATGGTGTTATTGGAAAATTGTTATTAGCAATGATTTAGTTTAAAGTAATTAGGATTGTAATCTAATTTTTATTAATTTAATGCATGTGCTTATTTATATTTTAAGTAGTGTTTTTTAATTTAATTGTATTTTAATTTAATGATCGTGATTTTGTGAGTTATATATTTGTAGTATTTTGGAATATGTTTGCGTAGAATACGTTGAGTATTTTCATGCATTTTCGTGAAATTTTTCTAATTTATGAGAAAAAAGCAGTGTACATGGATATATTAAAGAGTGTGCGCAATGCCATTTTTGTGGAATTCTGGGATTTTTTTTAAGTAAAAATAAGTCGACGTGTACATGGTTTCGTGATATTTTAATTAAATGATAGTTATTTTGTGAATTTTATGTTTGTAGGAATTTGGTATACGTTTCAGTTGAAGTAAACGTGCATGGTAGTAATTTAAATATTTGACACCATTTGTAATGTTTGCGGTATGAATTCGTTGGTGACGTTTATAATATAATAGATAATTTAGAGGTAAAAGTTTTTGGATATTTTATTTATTTTATACATGGAAATGTTCATCTTTGGAAAGGGTATATACTTTTTGTGATCAGGTAATTTCATATATGTTCTTTTTACCGGATTTAAAGATTCACAAAATTTTCATGCATTTTCGTGAAATTTTTCTAATTTATGAGAAAAAGCAGTGTACATGGATATAGTGAAGAGTGTGCGCAATGCCATTTTTGTGCAATTGTGGAATTTTAAGTAAAAATAAGAAAATGTGTACATGGTTTAGTGATATTTATATTAAATGATAGTTATTTTGTGAATTTTATGTTTGTAGGAATTTGGTATACGTTTCAGTAGAAGTAAACATGTATGGAAATAATTTAAATATTTGACACTAAGTATTTGTAACCATTTGTAATGTTTGCGGTATGAATTCGTTGGTGATGTTTATAATATAATAGATAATTTAGAGGTAAAAGTTTTTGGATATTTTATTTATTTTATACGTGGAAATGTTCATCCTTGGAAAAGGTATATACTTTTTTGCGATCAGGTAATTTCATATACAGTCAAAAGTCGTTAATTCGGACACCCATAATCCGGAATGATCTATAATCCGGACCTCAAAGCTAAAATCTTTCTGCACATGCGCCACGTTGACGCATACGCATAGGCGTTTTTACGCATGCGCGTAAGACATTTACGACTGCGCATATGCGTCTGCGCAAGCGTAGAATACGTTTTTGCGTGCGCGTTTAATGTATGATGGACGGTATAAGCTAAAATTATCTATTTCAGTTAATGTTGATGATTGCGTTGTTCCTTAATCTTCGAATTGGATCCAGCTTATTATTTTTTGCAGACTGTAAGAGCAATTTTATAAAAGTAAGCTTGAACTTTCGATTATGTCAAATAGAATTTCTGATGCTGGAGCTCCCAAAGGATCTAGAAAACGAAAGTATGTTTCGATGTCCATCAAACAAAAAAACGAATTGCTACAAAAAATGGATAAAGGCATATCCTTTGTTTATCTAACTGTTCCGAAATCTGTTTATCAATTTCACGCTGCTCTGCAGGGGGGGACGTCGCAGCGCGCAATGAACTGGAAGTTGATCTGTCAGCACTATCGTTATCTTCAGTGTAGATGTTTTTATTTTATTCGGCTTATAATTCCTTACTAAATGTAGTATTTAATCACGATGTACTCCGTCTTCGATATAATTTAAATCAGATTCCTCGTCATTATAAATATCACGAATACAAATCAAATAGTTTTCTGGTTCAATTTTTATAATTTTGGCTATGCGCAAGATATGCTTTGCGCATGCGCGCGTTGAAAGAAATGTTTAATAAAGTAAACAAATAAATATTAAGCTTCTTTTTTTGTAAATTTTGATACACTTTAGATCATAATTGCTGATTATTTTATAAATTACGGTTTCATATTTTTAATTTTATAATTTCTGTATGCCATCTTACCAGATTTAAACTGATGATCTATAATTCGGAAAAATCGATAATCCGGAATCGCCAAAGTCCTGACGAGTCCGGATTAAAGACTTTTGACTGTATGTGCTTTTTACCGAGTTTAAAGATTCACAGAATTTTTTTGCATTTTCGTGCAGATTTTTGTAATTTATGAGAAAATAGCAGTGTAGATGGATAAAGTTAAGAGTGTGTGCAATGCCATTTTTGTGCAATTTTGGGATTTTTTTTTAAGTAAAAATAAGTTGACGTGTAAATGGTTTATGTGTATGTTCTATTCTGAAAACGCACAAGGAGTTTGCGATTGTGCACTTTTTCACAATTTTGCAGTCAATATTTGTCATGATTAAGCAGTTTTGTTACATAAAATTTCTAGCATAAGTGTAATTCGGCTAGTAGATTGTCGGGAAAAGTGTTCAGTAAATAAAAAGAAAAGAAACATGTCTTTACTTCATGAAGACAAAATGGCGGCGAAAAAAAAATAGAGGGTTGCTGTAGCAGAGTTGGTCGCCAAATTTTCGCCAAAAAATCGCCAATTTACCATAACCCAAAGATCAACCAAAACTATATGTAAACAAAAGTATGTGGAGGTGCAACATGAAACATTGTAAACAAAAAATTCTATCTGACAACTGGCTTAGTGGTTCCACAATACCGATGCTAACAGCGTTGCATTTCACCCACTGTTGGGCAGATCTAAAGTCACTTGAGTGGTGCGATAAACAGCTCAACATCTCTCAAAATACCATGATTGATTGAAACAATTTTATGAGAGAGGTTTCTTCACTAGATTTACTTTAACAACCTAAAGGACGTAGAGTGGCCTTTGGAAAAATAGTCGAAATTGACAAGAGTTGCTTGTGTGGTGAAAAAACAATGCTGGCGAGGTATTTCTACAACTGTGTATATATTTGGCAGGTTATGCCATGAAAGTGGCAAGCACTTTCTTGTTCGAGTTCCAAATCGGGGTATCAACAGTTGTAAACTTTGTTGTGGAAATGTTGACACTATATTCAGATTGCTGGTGAACCTATAAAACAGGCGAACTTGAATAGACTAGTTACAGCCATTTAACTAGGAATCACAGGTTTAATTTTGAACAACAGGTCCTCACACCCATGTGTGGAAAGATTGTGGGTTTCTGTTAAATAGTGAAATAAAAACCAAAGAGGTATGCCTCAACATCATCTAGAGTTGTATCTTTCTGAAATCATGTCATGAAAATTTTTTGATAAAAATAAGCCGCCATTGATGCAATATTAAAATTAATCATGGAAATATGGCAGCCACAAATTACATGCGAGTAGTTTAAACTTGACGATAATCTTGGCGCCATTTTGATAATGGGAGCTGTGAAAAATCAAGTAGAACTTTTATTTATATGCAGTTCTAAATTGACAAAAGTATTGTTTTTTTAGGGTATTCTTGAAGACAATACAGTACTTCAGAAAGAACTTTTGATTAAATTAGTATGCATTAGTGATAATGCCACTGCATTAAAATTAGCTAAGATTTTTAATTTAAATAGAAATGATTGGCCAAGCATCTTACAGAATGTTACAGTATCTGACTCTGAGTAAGTTATGTGTATATAAGTACATTATGTAAATGCATATATTATATGTAATAATTGTAACAGAATTCTTAAATTAATTTGTAGTAAAGTTAAATGATAATTTTAGATTTTTTTTGTCACTTATTTATGTCACTCAATACTTTTTCCTCAGAATTTTCTGTCCGTATGTCTTACTTTATAACATCCCCCCCCACTGGGAAAAAAGTTTTATAAAATATTTTTTAAAGGCAGCTTTATGTCTCTGAAATACTACATTACATTAATTTGATATAACTAAGTATAATTATTTATATTAAATTAGTGTAAATGACATGATTATGTGTTACATAGCTCATGCAATTATTATAAAAAATTGAATTTTCAAACATTTAAAACTGTACATTGAATGAAACTGCCAGATCAAGAATAGATAATATAATAATTTCCAGTATTTTTCTTATTTAATTTTTATCTTTATATCCTGTATGCTGATAAGCATACTGATAATCCAATATAGATGATGCATAATATTATTTATGCAAAATAGGTATTGAAATATTTTGAATGAAATATATTGAAGATTTTGAAGTGTTTTTAATGTTGGTTTTAAGAAAGTTACTGCCTATCACTGATTTAGGTTCATAACTTTTCTATGATATATATATGCATCTCTCTTCTGTATGAAATTTTGAATGCTTTTCAAAATTTCTATTTTAAGTTGTTGAATGAAAAGGCTGGGATATTTATTTACATTTGTTTTCTTTTTTTTTTAAGGGAGATTGAATCAAATGTTTCTATGAACCATGAGTCTCCATCCATTTCTGCTTCACCATATCTTACATTGAGACTCACCAATTCAGATATTCATATAGTTGATACTCCGGACAAATTTTTAGACGCAGTTGCTGATATATCAGAAGTGAGTATTCGTACTTTTCTTAATGCTGTCACTAATGTAGTATGCATTAAAGAACTAAAATGTTACAGCCATTTTCACATTATCTAAATGGAAAGCAACTGGAGACAAACAGTAGCATATGTTAACCTTATGGGATGCCTACTGAATTCTATTAATCAGTATTTTTTTCCCAGTAAATAACTGAAACCTGAGTATTGTTGATCAGTGTTCAGGTTTCTTATGTTTAAGGAAGGCAGTAGGCTAAAATAAGAAAGAATTATATAGCTAAAACTGAGTACAAGTAATTAATGTTTGGCAGTTTGTTTCAGCAAAGCACTTACACTGATTGTACACATCTTTGTTGCAGTTGGAGTGTACATTCAGTATTGCCTTCTGATGCTGCAATTTAATAAAATGAAAACTGAATGATGTGAAGATGTCAAGGATTCTATTCCTGGGAACAGGAGTTGTGTGTTCTTTTGCATATACAGTCAAAAGTCGTTAATTCGGACACCCATAATCCAAACCTCAAAGCTACAAACTTTCTGCACATGCGTTGCTTTGACGCATGTGCATAAGACCTTTACGGCTGCGAATATGCGTGTGTGCTTGCGCAAAATACGTTTACGAGTGTGCATTTAATGTATAATAATATAATGTTTGTAGCTTTGAGGATGGTATAAACTAAGCTAAAATTATCTAATTATTTATTTCAATGTTGCAGATTGAGTTGTTCCTTAATCTTCGAATTGGATCCGGCTTATTATTTTTTGCAGACTGTTAGAGCAATTTTATAAAAGTAAGCTTGAACTTTCGATTACGTCAAATATAATTTCTGATATATATTTACTAATATGTAAAGGATCTACAAAGCGAAAGTATGTTTCGAAGTCCATTAAACAAAGAGTGAAATTGCTGCAAAAAATGGATAAACACATATCCTTTGTTTATCTAAACTTTAATGTTTGTTTATCTAAACTTTGTTTATCTTTAACGCCGCAGTGCACAATGAATTGGAAGTTGATCTGTCAGCACAATCCTTATCTTCAGGGCAGATGTTTTTATTTTATTTGGCTTATAATTCCTTACTAAATGTAGTATTTCATCTTGATATACTCAGTCTTTGATATGATTTAAATCAAATTCCTCATCATTTTAATTCGCTTCCGATAGCGAAGAAAGTGACAGAGGTTATTGAAAACGAAAAAATTTCGATTGACAAATTAGTCGGTAGACACAGCAATTATAGGACTTGAACAGCGGAACTTTGTAACTGAACAAGAAATTAAGTCTGTGTATAGAATTAAAGAGAAAGTATTATCACATAAAAAACGAAGCAACTTAAAACAACTTACATTGAAAGAAATGTTTAATAAAGTAAACAAATAAATATTAAGCTTTTTTTTTTGTAAATTTTGATACCCTTTAGATCATAATTGTTCTTTATTTCATAAATTTAGGTTTCATGTTTTTAATTTTATGATTTCTGCATGCCAACTTACCAGATTTAAACTGATGATCTATAATTCGGGAAAATCGATAATCCAGAATCACCGAAGTCCCGACAAGTCCAGATTAACGACTTTTGACTGTACAATGCATCTAACCCTGTTGGGAATGGATCTGCAATGTTGCTGTCCACTTCAAGTGCCTTTGTACACCTAATAGTTGAGAGATGAAAGTATGTAGTGAACTTTAAAGCTGGCTTCATTAAGGGTTTGGTAAAAGATCAAAGGAATTTTATTTTTTGTTGTACTGTGGATGCTTAGTAAAATAAAAACTAACGTAAGAAGAAGCACTCAACTGTGAGCAACATTCTACTTGAAAGTTGTTCCATTTGTTCATTTTTAGAAAAATTATTCATTTGTCACTTGCATAAATATCATATTAGGTTATATATGTTCATTCATGAGAATAATATGCTTGTTTGAAATGCCATCTTTGAGAATGATGTGCCCTGCCATGTCTGATGATGTGATTTATGAACTGTTCATAAAGCATGAGAAGGAGTTTATCCAAAGTTTCCAGATATGAATGCAAATGCACTTCTGTAGATAGTATTTTAGAACAGCAAGCCTGGTAAATGTAGTATGTAATTTAAGGAAATTAAAGGATTTATTTGCAAAAGTGATGTATTATTTGTATTCATTTTTTTAAAAGTTATAAAGGATCTTATGTTAATTAAAGAGTTATGTTTTAAGTCTTTACTATAACTTCTGCTTTCTGGAATCCTCACCAGAATGCAAATTAGGCTGTGTATATAAGCTGAGGATTTTGATTTAGGTGACAGCTTCTGACAATCATGTCTTGCTGTCAATATTTTTTCCCAGCTCTACTTAAAATTTATATTTTGGTTTTCACATTTCCGTTAGTTACTGTCTTAAGTACATATTTGTAAGATATCTGAGGCAGCTTATTTCTAATCTATTTAATGTGTAGTCTTAAACTACATTATCAACACTGAAATTAATTGTCTGTTATATAATTTAAATATCCACAAGTGGTGGAAGTTTGGTCTTTAGTACAAGTTGTGCCTGTTCTATTACATTAAAATTAAAATAAAAAAAGTTACTTTAACATTTTTCGGTATTGTGCGAATTGTTTAAGACATAGCAATAATTTTCTATTGTTTAGTAGGGTCTGCAAAACGTATGCTTCCAGATACAATAGCAACCCTCAAATTCTTATAATGTTATACATCACTAGTTGGACTGTTTTGATGGCACATAGTGCCAGAACAATATTTTGGCAGAATAATTTCACATTGGGCAGGTCTTAATCTTTTGGCTTTCCAATATATATGCCATCTTTCATTTTTAATTTAATGTTTCCATTCAAAAATTAAAATGATTATCTGTTTAAGTACATCAAAATGTTGTAGCTTTTCAGTTGGTAGCCTGATTTTCGCATATAATTTAGTGTTTTCTGTATTTGCAACTACAAGGATATTTGAAGATTAAAATTATGCTATTAACTTAATCTGTTTTCTGCAGTTTATGTTAAAATGATTAACTAATGAAGATAAAAATTATTGCAGTACTATAGGATGACTTTAAAAGTGTATTATTTTATAATATATTTTACATATAGAATTTTATCAGCATATTAATCAAATAATCATGTTGTAATTGCACTGAATTATTTGCAATATAAAAAATTTTAAAAAACGGAAAGGTTTTCATGAAATAACTTTTTTTTTTTTTTTTAAACTCATAAAATCATTAATAAACTAAAAGGAGAAAAATGATTTATCAGATAGTTTAAAGGGGATATGGGGATTAAATAATTGTCTTTAAAATAATTTAATCTGCAATCTTATATCACAAATAATAAAATCGTGGTGCACTGTTGTTAAATTTCTAAAGATAATGTTAATACTTTTGTCAGTGTGATTTGATTGCTCAGTTTCATTATATAGGTGCCTATGCTTTTGTTATTAGTGATATATAATTATAAATGAATTTTTGTGATGAGAATTATTTAAACTCTTGTTCCCATTAAAATGTATGATTTCTTTTTTCCTTTTAGTTCCTTAATGACTTTATGAATTTTAAATAAAAGCCTTATTTTATGTAAAAAAATAATCTCAATGACACATTATTAATCAACAATTTTAAACAATGACTAATCATGTTTTTACTTCCAACAGTTCTTTTACATCAAATTGTCTAAAAAAAATCCAACAGTTTTGCCCAAAAAATTAGAAATTATTTTTAAAATCTCATAAATATCATTTAAAAGTTTTTTTTTGTTTTGTTTTTTGTTTTGATGTTGCAATAAAATTTTGAGAGTTCTGGTTTGTTTATTAAATAAAGATATATGTGAAAAATCAACCTTAAACTTCAAAAAATCTAAATCAAATTTTGAAAAATCCACTTCGCACATTGTATCAAAAGCTTACAATTTATATTAATTTTGAGCACTGAATTTGGTTTACATTACGTTGGTAATGCCATAATAATAATAGTATTTTTGCAAGCAACTGATAAAGAGAAATAATAATAGGGATTTTAACTTGTATGAAAATTTGTTCAAGACAGTGCGCTAAAGTTAAAAATGGTAGTTAAGTCTTTTGTGTTTGTAACAGAATTCAGAAGCTGTAGAATACTGCAATGCCAAGAAAATTAATAAATGGTATCATCATTTAAATTATTATTTAACATAGGGATTTTAATTTGTTGTGTGGCATGGGAATCTTGTTTAGTTGTAAATTTGTACCTTATAACTCATGTAACTTTGTATGCAAGTAATGATTACCGAATGACTAATTAACGAAAGCTGGGAATTGCTGTTTTAAAACCACGCTTTCTTTGAAGCTGGATTTCACCTTTTGCTACTGTTTTCTTCTATTGCACTAGTTTTTATTGGTTGTGAATGGACTATATTTAGAATATATTGTTATCAGACTACTTTGCTACTTTCGAATATCACATAATTACCTATACTAGTCTAAATATCATCTTCAGATTGCTGAATGTTGTATCTTTGAACTATATGTAAAGCAATTTTGTGTGATAGCTATCTTTTGTATAAATAACTTCGATGGTACAGTTATGTTAATGGAATCCTGTCACTTTTATAGTACATTATATTTAATGGATAGTGACCTCTCAACAGGATTTTGTTAGCTGCTTGCTTCAGTAATCTCAGAGGAATATTGATGAAATCTGTACTTTTGTAAAGCTTTTGTGATAGCATAACTTATGTCAGTTAGGAATTTTATTATTAGAAATGCAGAACACTTGACTTAACCAATAAAAGACATGATTTGGTATATGTTTGACTTTTTACTGCAATTTATAAAATCTTTTGTTATGGGTTTTATTTGACTGTATTATTCAAGTATCGCAGAAAAAGAAATAAAGGGGGTTGTCTGCTTGAGTTGCATCCTAGTTTTAATTAAGAGCATCTTGGGATGGAATCCAGGGATTTTAAGTGTCTCTTCTATTAATATTGATCCCTTGAGAGAATTTTTGGACAAATTTTTCTGCAGTCAAAAAACATTACAGTCACAAACGTGT